CACACACACACAATTAAGGTAGGCCTTCTATTCTCTGTTCAGATGCAATATAATATCCGTCTCACTCAATACAGACAGCAAATTGGCCGGGTCAAAATGAATAAATTGAAAATGATCTTTCCTTAGAAACCCCTTTTGGACAACTTGAACGGGTTGTTTAGGTAGGAACACTTTTTTATATAATTTCCTAAAAACAAGCAAAACAACAACAACAACAACAAACAAATTCGAGAAATGATGTTAATAATAATCCAGTAGGCTACATGCCTTCTACTTGCATACATAGTTACTAAGTTAGCCACAACAAAGTTTAAAAAAAAAGTGAATTACACATCTTATATGTAGTAGGCTACATAAACAAGCAGGCTATAGCCTAAGTACACCATGTTACAACAATACAATTTTCCTTCAAATCAAAATTAGGAGGCTCTCTCTTGATCCAGAGGTTTCAGTGTTCGCCTTTCTTTCAATAGGTCTCGGGTTCGAAAACTGACAGCGACGGACATATTTTTTCTTTAGAATGTTCTCCTTTCACCTCCTTTCCTGCTCTCTAACCATACTATTCTGTTGCCTGCTTTCGTCTCCACTTCCTGCCGCCCGCCCCCACCCCTTTGCGCCCTCCTCTAGGCCCCTGTCTCTTTCTAAAGCTTTCCCTCTGCTACCTATTCATGGCTCATTCTTCTATACTTACTGCTCTCTTTTTCAGCAACACCTAGCCTTCTCGGATAAGAGCGAGACATCTTGGAGGTCCCGTGTGTAGTCAGGCACGTTAAAGACCCATAAAAAACATTATGGTGGTCCAAAATCGATAAGATAATGAGCCGCAAAAGGAGCAAAATTCAAAATTAATTCCTAACAAACTAAAGTGTTTATTATATGTCCCTGGCGCTCACACGACCTTATGCAGAACTTGCAAGCGCCGTAAAACACTTACCAACACAAAACAAAAAAACCCCCAAAAATCTTTTAATATGTCAAATCACATCTCTATTTTGAGGAATACCGGTTTTGTTCCTAAACTCTCTCTCTCTCTCTCTCTCTCTCTCTCTCTCTCTCTCTCTCTCTCTCTCTCTCTCTCTCTCTCTCTCTCTCTCTCTCTCTCTCTGTCTCTTTCGCTCTCTCCTTCTCTCTCTATCACACACACACACACACACACACACACACACACACACACACACACACACACACACACACACAAACATATCTTTATTGATAAATAGATGGAAGTCCTTATAGATACTATGTGTATATTATGTGGCATATCATTGTATTATTTAATTTTAGGCTAAAATTAGGAATATATTTTATATTAATATTCTCCTTTCACATCCTTCCTGCTCTCTATTACTATCGCACACACAGATAGGCTTGGCCTGTGTTTGTGTATAATACTTGTCAATGTCAAAGATAGTAGTTATGTACTATCTTTGTCAATGTATAGGCCTATATAATAGACATAATTATCATAATATAATTTAATAGGCTATATAACGTCACAAAATACGTGACTTGAAAAGAAAAAAAACGTTATCAGCATTTCTGTTTAAACCGGTACAAGGATGTTTATAAGTGTTTGTTCCTGTTTAATGTACAAAACGTGTTTTTTAAAATTTTAATGTTGCGCGAATACGCCATTGTCAAGTGCACAGAATTCTGTGGTCAAGTGTCAAGTGTTGAATTCTGTGCAAGTTGCTCATTCTCACTCTCATACCCCAGAAAAGCACGTTTGTCAGTCTCTGCCCGGAAGTAAACAAACTGATCGTAATGTCGTACCAGGAAGGGGGAGTTGCCGATGCTGAAGAGAGCAATGAAGAGGAAAAGCCAGAGATGGTGGAAACGCCGGACTCTAGTCTGAGCTTGGAGGAAATAAGCAAGAAAGATGTGGAAGATGCAGAAGATACAACCAGTATTGAAATGCTCTCTGGGGCAGGCAGTGACGACTCGCCATTTGAGTCGCCGTGTCGGCCGAAACCCGGCCAAACATCGCAACCGGAGGATGTGAAATTGTCAGGCTGGCTTAAATTGGCAGGGCTGGGCTTTCGAAAAGCTGTAAAGCAAGTGTGGTTTGTTTATGGTGACGACACTGGAAAGCTCTACTACTACCGACAGCCGCAAGATTTACTGCCTCTGGGAGAAATTGATTTGAGAACCAGTTCTCTCACATACGACACGAGTAACAGAGACAAACCAGGTCTCTTTCAAATCAGGTAAAAACCTTTCTAGCAGTCTAGAGTCTTGCCTTTGTTTTGGTTTTAGCACACTTGTATTCACACTCAAAAATAAAATATGTTTTTAATTCAGAGATAGACAACTGGTTCAAATGGTTAATAAAAACTGGAACTGGAATTGAAGGTATTGTAAGATGATGTGATGAATTCTGTAACGAGCCACCTCTAGATCTAGATCTACTATGACATGGAAAGAGGGATGATAGTGATAGAGTTAGGGGTAAGGGTTAAGGCTAGAGGGTTTGGGTTAGGTCTAGGTACCTTCTTTATTTTGTTTGTTGAGGCGGTTGGTCATTAGAGAAGTCCTTTCAGGATAATTATTGACTGCTCGTCACTGGAAATTTGTTACTCATAGAGTTACTATGAGATATATATGGTGAAACGAGTCAACGAGTATGAGTAATGACAAGACAAGAATCAATTTGTATGCAGACAGCGTGTCAAGTTATTTTCTTACTTTCACTACTGTCTCATGCTCAGGTATTATATATATCCCTTTTCTTGTTATTTTTTATCCGTTTTACACAAATGTCGTTATAAATATTCCTTGCAAATGAATAATTGTGTGAAATATTTGATATTTTTTATGTGCACTACAAACTAAGCCTCATTGGGGGCTTTTTGAAAATTGCCTTCCCTTTTGTTTACGTAAGAAACAGAAGTGATTGCTAAGGACTAAAGTGGCCATGTAGGCTAAGTGAACCCTACAACATTAGCCAGTAATATTTTTCTGCCTTTTTTTTTTTTTGTATACAAAATTTATTTTGGGCGGATTGAACTTAGGTGGACCCACCATGTTTACATGGGTATTAATGCGCACTAGCCATAACAGTGGTTTGCCCCCCTGGCAAAAATAATACCATAAAAAACCCCCATACAATCTGCCCGTTTACATGGCAAATTATCAGTTGGAACGGGAAGGCAATTTCCAAAGAGCGCCCCTCATTGCATAGTAGTAATGTCCGTACTTTGGACAACTGGGGGGTTTCCAGGGGACAGGACCATCCCCCCCTTGTTTTACCCCATAATTTGATGTTTCTTGCAGACTTTAGGTTTGAAATTTTCTTGAAACTAATTGATTTGCGACAGTTTTAATGGCCGTGTGTATGATCTACTTAAAAGAATACTGCTGTTTGACCCCCAAAGCAGTGCATCTGTGCCATAGAAAAGAAAAAAAAAGTTGATTTTAGAAAATTGTTTTGTTTACAAAACTGGCCTAACATAAAACTGGACAGAATTGACCTTTTGGTGAGGACAGCTGATTTGTTATGAACCTGAAGTTGGACAAAGCAGACTAACAATCTCTGATCGTTTATTTTTCGTTTCTATCGTTTGTTTTTCGTTTCGCAGTTTAGAAACTGTAGACCCTGCCTTTGTTTTCATGCTCTGTCCCAACCAACTGTCCCCCCATCTATTTCTCACCCCACCCAGGTATTGAAGGGTTCATCTACCTACTAAAGACAGCGAAAGTTATGTGAATGTAGGTGGTCAGCACGTAACAGGCTGCGGGGCCCGAAAGAGATGACGGGCTCCGGACGGCAATTAGTTGGACCCTACAAATTCAACAGTTTGGCTGTCTAGGATATATACAGTAGTCTCCGCCTAAACTCACGGGACTGCTCCTTCTCCTGTGTTTATATAGAGTGTGCGTTTACATGAACCTGTGCAAAGGAAGGAAGGGATGCAGTCATCTCATTCCTTGATATTTTAGTGATCTCCCTTGGGGGTGGAGGTCATTTTGGCCAATAATATGATGACACGTGACTGTTTTGTGAAGGATTCCCCAACTGCGGTAATCGATAAACAAAGGCATTGAATGGTGTGGAGGAAAGTGGGGGGGGGGGGGGGGGGGCAGAAAGACGGACTCATTGTTCTGATATGCTCAAAAAAATGTCAGAACAGATAAGAGGGAACTGTTGGTGATAAGTCTTGTCATAGGGAAAAGTGCTCAGCCTCACAGCTTTCCAAGCGACCACTTCTGACAGCCCATCATCTATTGCAGCTCGGTAAATGCATGGTTGACATCAGAATCAGAATTCCGAGAGACTTTTCTCTTGTGATTCATTGAACAAGTACGTTTTAAGCTCTTTGAGCGCAGCTGATTACTTTACTAATCTTTAATCTAAGAGATGCATATCTAGTTTTCTACAGCATTCATGGGTGTTGCGTATCATAGGCCTAACTGAATTAAACTACTGGTACGTATGCAGTGTCATGACTCAAACACTAGTCAGAAAACTTCTCTCAAAGTCAAAGGGTGGGTGGTTGGCGGGTGCTCTGGTGTGGTTTGCTTCTTCTTTCCTATTGAACATCTATCGTCTTTATCTCCCCTCCTTTTTTGTGTTTGTTACTCTCTTGTAACACCTCTAATCTTCGGCACTTATATGACCTGATTGTGTTGCAAGTGCCGTAAAACTCTTACTAAAACTAAACTAAAAAAGTCGAATGGGCATTTTGAATAACCAATCAAAAGACATTTCCGCCCCCCCCACCCCCAACATCACCCGACCTGTCCTAGACCTATATGTGTTCATGGGAAGTTGGGGGTGAAAACACTTTCCATCACTCTCTTTGTTCTGCCTGAGGGGCAGTCTCGCCAAACATCCTGTTGTCGAGGCTTGTCTTATGCAAGCTGTACAGGTTGTAGCGAACATTTCCCTTAGTCAAGCTTTACTTGTGGGCGTGTTTCATGGATCGAAGCGTGCATTTAGAGAAATTGGCTGTGCATTTGTACGTCTAGATTATGTAATTTTTAAAAAAGTCACATGACGAAAGCCTGTGTTTGAGGGGAGAGTGTTTTTGTATGGCGTGCATTTAGGCGGAGACTACTGTAGTAGTTAGATCTGATGCCAGGTGTTCAATCAAGAAATAAAACAAATAATTGCAATGGCTATTTAAGATAGTTTCAACAAAGTGATCCCAATCCTGAAAAACAGAAACATCTCAATGACAATAAATAAAAGTTCTAAAAGTGTGGTCAACTTTTCTATACAGCTGTGAATACTGGGCAATTACTAAAGACAGTGAAAATAAAATCGAAGCAACGGAAATGTATTTTCTAAGGAGACTGTCGAGAATTTCATGGAAGGAAAAGAAATCACATGAGGTAGTGTATTTGAAGAAGCCCGCGCGGAGGACTCATAGATAAAAACAATTAGGACGAGACGTATATATATGCAGTTTCTAGGACACTTGAATAGACGTAAGGCCTTGAACATCTAACTCACACTGGTAAAATTGAAGACAAATGAAGTAGTCAAATATGTAGTCTCCTTCTTCCTTCAGACTTCAAAAGTCATATATGGTGTAGAGTGTCTGCCTCTATAAACCAAGACTTGGGGGGGGGGGGGGGGGGGTATGTGTTTTACGGCACTTGTAACTGCATAAGGTCATACGAGCGTGCGGGACACATTAAACATTTTCAGTTAGTGGGATATTTTGAATTTTGCCTGGGTGGCGGCCGAAGCGTACTCTTATCGATTTTAGACCACCAAGGGATCTTTAACGTGCGCAACTTGCACACGGGAGATTTTTCACCCTTCTCCGAGAAGGCTAGGTGTAGATCTTTTCTACAAGAAGATAAGGGGTGTGGCTGAAAGACAGCAGTAAAAAGGAGCCAAGGAGTAGCAGTAGAAAGGCTGAAGAAAGAGTCAAGAGCCCAGAGGAGGGAGCAAAGGAGGTGAGGGGGTGGGGGAAGAGAGTGGAGACGAAAGCAGACGACAGAACATTGCGAGAGAGCAGGAAAGGAAGTGAAATGAGACAATTTTAGAGAAGAAAATTTTTCCATTGCTACCCGGATTCAAACCTGGGACCTTTGAATGAGAGGCGAACACTTTAATCTCTAGGCCACGAGAGCCCCAAACCAAGACTACTTCAGTCATTAGTGTTTGTAGATTGCTTTCTTTTCCCTTTCTGCTGTTATATTATTTCATTATATCTATCTGTAATCTCATTTTGTTCATTTTTTCTCTAGATATTGAATATTTATTCAAGGGTTTGTTGATGACATTTTCTCTATATTTCGGTAGATTTACAGTATAGCGTATTAAAACAAGGCATAAGACTGATTCTTTGTCTATATTTAGGGTAGCTTATTATAAATTTCTCATCTACCCTCGTTATGAAGTAAAAAATCTACCACGTTTGGAAACTTGAGAAACCTGAGCACATTTACAAAGCTCTGATTTTCCTGAACTTAACGTATTGTTAGTCTCAAGTGACCATGTATGATGGAATGTGTTTGTGAATACCAGACATGGAAGAAACAGCTTGCAAAAAAGTCAACTGCCATGCTCGTTTCTCTTTGTCTATTTTTCTGTTCCTCTCTCGCGCTTGAAAGTTTTACTCTTCTTCATGTCAAGTCAAAATTTCACTAGATGCACTGTGAACAAACTACCTGGTTAAAGAGCTTACCATGCTGAATGATGCGCATGGCTTTGTCTGCCTAACGCTCTCTGACTCAGCCCGAGATAGCAAGGGATGAATATCTCCAGGAGCCTTGTTTGAACTGTCAGCACTATCAGTCCCTTCCTGTAGTTTATTGTTTTGTTATCATATATATAGTTTCCTGTTCCTAATGATTAAGTTGACCCATTAGTATGGGACTATTTTTGGAAAATCTTTGTTCCTGCTGATTCTTTGAAATTTATGTATGAGTAACTCTTGACATCATGTATCAGTGACTTCTTTCTGTAGTAGCTATTTGTTGCCTACCTCGTAGTTGTTATCTCTGTTATCAACGTGTTTGAAACCCCTCAGCTGTAGTAGAGCACATTTGTGGATAGGGGCCAATGTCCTGCAGTTCACATTTGTGTTACTTTTATGCTATGGGGATATTTACAATGTTGCAGTGCAAACTAATCATTAGGCTATTCTGTTAAAGGTTTTTTATTGAAAGTACTGTCAATCTTGACTTGTTCTGTTAATATCTTTTGATATAATTGTGTCCAAATGTTTCTGTTGCATTCATTGTGTCGAAAAAAGTCTTTTAAAATTACTAAATAAATGATAATGTTTTCACCAGATCGTCAGGGAAAGTGTTCAGCGTTGATGCTTCTGATCGAGGTCATATGCTCTACTGGCTGGACGCGCTGCAGAAAAAGCGGAGAGCATTTAGTAATCGGCAGTCGCTTTTCGCTCAAGACGTCTTCATGGGAAAGAAAGTAAGCCTCATCTTTGTTCTCCATACTTTACAGAAAGTTCATTTGACTGTTGCTTACTGTCTTCCCTTTACTTAAAAAAGAAAATCAGTTTCAACTTTCATTTTTAGACAAATTCATCATTTCTGGTCTTCCAGTATCCATGTCTGTTTTATTCTGAATTACCTGTTTAAATCTATTGAATGCACATCCTTTCTATGTATGTGAATTAATTTAGTACATGCCTAAATAGCTGTGCACCTTCCTAAATTAGCATAGACAATGTTATGGTTGAAACTATTTATGAAGCTGACAACAGGTGCTTTTTCCCTGGAGTATTGACCCCCTCCTATTTTACGCCTGGCTTGTTGAATGAATGGGCATCTGTTGCTTCTTATTAATAAAGCTGAATGTAATTTTTATATAAGGAAAGGAAATGAGGGAAGTGTGTGTCTGTCTGTCTGTCTGTCTGTCTGTCAGTCTGTCTGTCTGTCTGTCTGTCTGTCTGTCTGTCTGTCTGT